TAATTGTCAGTGTAAAATATTTAAAAAAAAAAATGAAATTTTGAAATCGTGTAGCGTTGTAATACCTCTATCTCATCATCCACTTTTTTAGTTGCCGGTGTCAATTTTGTTTTTTGTGTATTTGGTGTATCGACGTTTCTAATTGGTCTTATTTCGCGATCCTTCGGTTTATCAGCCCAGATATCCTGACAGTAATTTGCAATGTAAAATATTTGATAAAAATGAAATTTTGAAATTATATAGCGTTATTATACCTCTATTTCATCATCCACTTTTTTAGTGGCTGGTGTCAATTTTGTTTTTTGTGTGTTTGGTGTATCGACTTTTCTAATAGGTCTTATTTCGCGATCCTTCGGTGTATCAGCCCAGATATCCTGACAGTAATTTTCAATGTAAAATATTTGATAAAAATGAAATTTTGAAATTATATAGCGTTCTTGTACCTCTATTTCATCATCCACTTTTTTAGTGGCGGGTGTTAATTTCGATTTTTGTGTGTTTGGTGTTTCGACTTTTGTAATAGGTCTTATTATGCGATCCTTATTATGCGGAATGGCCTAGAAATATTTTTTTTGTTATGATCATGTTAATAATGATATCATCGTATGAAATGAACAATTAAATATATTGTAATACCTCGACATCATCGTGTGGTTTAGAAACGTGTGTCTTCACTATAGACACCCATATTTTCTAAAATATATCCCGAAATTGATAAATAAATTTATTTAGTGAATAAAAATACTGTATATTTAACGTTAAAAAATCCTACCTCATTCTCTATAATAGGTTTTATTTCGTGACCCTTCGGTTTATCTGCCCAAATGTCCTAAAATATTTTTTATTTACAATTCTAAGACTTGTAAATATAAATATGTACGTAAAATAAATAATATTTAAGATACCTCGATATCATTATGTGGTTCGCGACTATGTGTCTTAGCAGAGGGCTTATGCGAAACCTAAAATGCATTACTCGATTAACTTTTGTTATCTGTTTGTCATCGATGAAATAAACCTAACTTTCTTATCGTACCTCATGAGTTTTAATTGATTTTATTTCGCGATCCTTCGATTTATTCGCCCAAATGTCCTACAATAATTTTACTTTTTAATGGTGTCTTCTGTTTAATGTTTGATAGTACAAAAGAGCAATATATATTAACTACCTCAATTTTGTCACGTGGTTCATTAAGATGTGTTTTGTTAGGGGATTTCAACGAATCCTAAAATGCAACGTATAATTTAAAGAAAGTACTGTTTTATCATAACTATCGATAGTTTTGGTTTTATTATTGTACCTCGTTATTTCTAATAGGTTTTATTTCGCGTTCCTTTGGTCTGCCCAGCCAAACATCCTACAATATTTTTAATTTATAGTACACACGAATCTTTTGTCTAACTACAATTAAAATTTAAATATCTTTTCCCTTTATAAATTAATTAGGTACCTCGACTTCGTCGTATGGTGCAAGTGTGTGTGTCTTAAGGGTTGGTTTCAACGAAGCCTAAAATTTGTTATAGAATTAAAACTGTGTACACTAACTTTTCTCGTCGATAAACGTGTATTTATTTTTCTCTTATTGTACCTCATCTTTTCGAATCGATTTTATTTCACGATCCTTCGGTCTATCTGCCCAAATGTCCTAAAATATTTTCATCCCTTAATATCTAATATCGTCACAATTGTATTAAAAAAAAGAAGAAAAAATAAGGAATAATAAACTACCTCAATTTCGTCATTCGGTTCGTGTGATTGTAGCTTAGGTTTAATCGTTGATTTCTCCTATAGTGAAAATAAAAACAAAAAAAAAAATTATTGTGTGTTTCTTGTACGATACGTGTGCTTGAAATTAAATTGTTGCATGTGAAATGAATGAAAATCGCGAATAATCATTGCCACCGTTTAACAGTGTACTTTTCCAAAAACCAGGTACAGTTTCAGTGAAAAATTTGTCATTTCATATTCAACGATCTAATAATTAATAATATCAACCGTGTACCTCGCCATTTTTTATCAACGACTTCTTGCTATCGTTAACTCGTGATGGTAGGGTTACCTAAAATTATGATGACAAATTGTAGGTTTAAATTCTTTTTGCAGTAAAATATACTTTTATCAGAGTGCAAAGTGTATTGTGTATAGTGTACCTCCACATCTGTAACAGGTCTGCGCGTGTATGGCTTAAGATCGTGTAACGTCTCGGGTGAGTCCTAAAATAGTATCGTTGTAAGTGTCAACAAACATTCGCCGAAGATTTATCAACAATATAAAATTTCTTTAAATATAATCTACCTTCACGCTCGTGTTTTCGCGTAATTCACGTGTAACCGATACGCGCCTCACGCTCGGTGTGTCCTAAAGTGACATAAACGTGGAATCCATAAATCTTATCATTTTTCAAAGAAACATGTATTTTCAATAGAATATTTTTGTACCTCTACGTGCATTCTAGTATCGTGTTTGTACGTTTCGGGAATCAATTTCCGCGACCCCTAAAAGACAGAACGGTCGCGGTAAGAAAATTAAATAAAGGATGGAAATTTAATAATTTTATTTTTTCTAATCACGTGTATCTCTCTGCGTCTAGTAGTCCTCATTTCATAGTCTCTCGGCACTGACGCCCAAATATCCTACAAGCGTCGATATTTATGAATATTTATATTCGCGAAAATTTTGAATTTTCAATCAAAGGAAACGAAATCTTTACCTCGATCTCGGCGTCGCGTTTCGATATGTTGGGTTTAAATGTTTCTCTGGGCAATGTCTACAATAACATTAGCGATACATTTAATTTAAGTTCAGTTCAATTGTACCCAATCAGATATGAATGATATGAAATATGAAATTACAACTACCTTAGATTCGTTATCAGATTTCCGTCTAAACGAAAGATATTTCGAGTAAGGTTCATCCTAAAACAATGCACAGTGTTTTAACTGTATGTTAAAAAAACAAAATTGTGTGAATGCTGTGTGTTTCGTGTACCTTCGTGTCGTGAGCGAGTGTGATCGCGGACCTTAATCTCGGGCTCTCTCTACCCGTCTAAAAGTTCAAAATAATAAAACAAAAATCGTTAAATCGCTTTAATTTTTTTCAACTAATATATCCTACAGTTTTTTTAGTCCTATATCGTTCCTACAGTTTCTCCTTTCATTGTTCTCAGATCGCTTTCCGTGCTTGTGCATGCGCAAAGGGGAACACAAATCTACGTATTAAGTACTAAATCCCTCCAGAAGTCATTTATAAGGAGGTTACACATACACAAACTACTTACTGCTTTGGTATTTCAAAAATGAACTTTTTTAATATCCAAATCACAAAGAAATGTTAAGGTGTACACAGAATGTGTCGTTTCAAATTAAAAATTGGAACATCTTAATCGCTGCAACGAAGATGTTTCAACCTTTAATCACAGACGACATTCTAACAAGATTTTCGCAATGTTAATAATAATATTCCAATGAAGGTGTGAACATATACTGTACAAGAAAAAAAAGTAAAAACAAACATTTGGAAAAAAGTAATATCGATTGGTATATCTTCTCTTACCTTCTCTGCTGTCACCTTCTTCTCGATGATAGAAGATCGCCTGCTTTCCGACCTCACCTCTTCTTCAGTCTATTTACAGGGAAACAACAAACAATCAAATGAATAAAACATTGCACTCGACGTTTCATCGTTTTATGCAGTATTTAAAGTTTCGCGTTCGAATGAATTTTGGATTGTTCCGATCGGTGCTCGTGTACCTTTTGAATCGAAAAGCGTCGCGGTGTCGAGTAGCCATCTTCGCTTATCTACGTGTAAAGAGAAAAAAAATAAAAATAAATATTCGAATGTCTACTAGAAGCATTGTAACGTTGCAGCATTGATCGCGAACGAATTGTATTCGTTGAAAAGTGGAATTTTAAAATAGGGCGTAACCTTTTCCTCTGTCGAAACCAAAGAGCTCCTTCGGCTTTCCGTTCGCAGTTCCTCCACCTGTTGTCAAATAAACAACAAAAATCAACTTTCTTCAGTGAGCAAGTTTCTGAGCACACTACATATCTTTCTAGGCTTACTACAGATCACTAAATAATTGATGACAGCAGGAATTTGCACAAGAATCTGCGATTTGTGTGTGATTTAAAAGTTGAAAAACTTACTCTGCTAATGGACTGCTTGCGGGACACAGTTTTTTCGGCTTTCATCGTAGCCTCCTGGCATAGAAAAAGTTAAAGATTATAGTATAATGTAAATAGTAAGACTGCAATATTATTATTAGAAATTGTAGCAATGTAATTACTGAGATAGCTATATTATTATTAGAAATTATACGAATTAATTAATTTTAATAAATACGAATACTGAGACTGCAATATTATTATTAGAAATTATAGCAATACGAATACTGAGATTGCAATATTATTATTAAAAATTATGGTAATGCGAATACTGAAATTTCAATATTATTATTAAAAATGCACTGTACAAAACGCTTACCTCTACCTTTTGTTCTTCTTTCTTTACAACCTTCTTCTGTAAACAAAAATATTATTCGCTTGAGTAACAAGATACTCGCCACCATATTTGTTCTAAAATTCAGTCGCATACCTTTTCTGCTTCTTTCTTTTCCGCGACTTTCTCTTCTGGTTTCTTCTACGCGAGGACAAAAAGACAATAGATGAGTAACACGAATATTTTCCATTAATTTTTTCACTAACTTTACCTGTTCTTATCCTTCAAGCTACGTGAAAGACAAAATACAAATAAACACAACTCTCACACTTCTATTTTCTACCGTTTAAACTATTCTACAAAAACACAGACACATTTACAGAATATTCGCACACTGAAACTGCTGCATGGCAT